TGTTTGGATTCAGGGAGTAATTAGGATGAGCATCCATCCTCTAGCCACGGCATCCTGTGGTGGTTTCCAACCCCTGTGCCATGGTATTGATTTGCCCCTTGCCGGCAGCACCTGGGTTTATGATGTGTGTTGGTTCAGCTGCATTCCTTGGATTTCTGTAATTAAAGGGTATTCCCACATCCAACTGTCAGGTAACTCTCCAGGTTCATGAATCACCCCAAAACCCCATGAGCTGGGTGAAGGGGTGTGAGTACAGTAGCACCGTACTGGTGCTTGTCTGGCACAGCCTGCCCTTTGGAGCTGCTCCTGTCAAAGCAGGAGGAGCTGGAATATCCCCAGCCCGAGCAAGAGGGAAGGTCACCCTCGTTGCTTTCAGTGGTCTCTGAATCATAAATGATTTAACCAAGGTCATGCACTGACTTTGGGGATGAGCCAGGCATGAAAACCCAGCGCTGCTGCCCTGTCTCTTGCAGAAGTAGCACATCAAGAGCCTCAGACTTTGGGGTTGGAGTCTCTTGAAAGCAGAGGATTAACCCTGGAGCAGATGCAGCCACAGATCCCAGGAGATCCCATCTTTCCCTTTCCCCTCCACAGGCCTCCCAAAGCAGCTTATCCAAACACTGGAGCTAGTTGGTCCATGTGGAAAAACCTTTGGTGGACCCCCCAAAACCCCTCATTCCCCATCAGAGCAATGAGGCTGGAGTGTGAGCGCTGACATGGAGCCGGTAGGATGCAATTTTTAGCAGTGGCGTTATGCAACTCGGGAGAAGGGATGACTAATGTGCAAAAAGCTCCTCTAAACCAACCCAGCCCCGAATGGGAGACGGAGGGATTTCAGTGGGAGGCACCAAACTGTTGAGAAACCCATCGCATCTTGTCCCTCTTCCTCCCCGCCGCCTTCTGAGCAAGTGATTTGGGGGATGCAGGAGGGGGAAAACAGCATGTTGTTATTTTTAGGTGGGGTCTGGGTTGGTTTTGGGGGCGACTTGGCAGCGGTTAATCCCCTCTTGGATAACATTCTACGAGGAGCTGTAGCGGAACAGAAGAGCAGACCACTAAATATCTCTGGAGCTCAGGGTTTTATCTCAAACAGCGGCCAAAATTGGCTGCCTGGAGAATAGGATAAGAATAGAGCAAGAATATACGATACTTCCCCCGAATATCCTCCCAGCCACTTATCTATGTTTAGGGATCTGGCGAGGAGCGCACGTTCCAGCTAAGGGGAAAAGCAGGGAGAGAAAGGAAGGGTGCTTGATTTATGCCCAAGTCCTAAAATGGCATTTAAACCCCCCCCTAAAAATCAACTGGTGTGCAGTGATTGTTGGGGCAGTGAGCTCGCCAGCCTGGAAAAGAGGGGTTCCCATGGGATGGAGGGAGTGTGTTGGGTCTGAGCTGCTGTTTTGTTCCCAGTGGGATGCTGTGATTGAGCAGGAACATGCAAATAAAGCATGGTGAATACCACCAGGCCAGGTTGGATGGGGCTTGGAGCAACCTGCTCTTGTGGAAAGTGTCCCTGCCCGTGGTAGGGGATTGGAACTGAATGAGCTTTAAGGTCCTTTCCAACTCAAACCAGTCTGATTCTGATATATACATGCCTCTTGCCTATGTATAGTGTGATGCCCAGCAGCGTGGTACCAGAGGGAACTTCAGTGCCCTGTAGTCCTGTCCCCATTGTGGCTGCAGATGCACGTGATGCTCAACAGCAG